ACTTACATAAAAAGGTAATGTTTCTTAAGGTAAATATTTGATAGGTATCGTGTATTAACAATAAAGTCTTGATAAGGGTATAGTATATGGAAACTAGATTTGGTTTATTACAGGACACTTTAAACATACATAATGAAACTAGAGTTAATCTTTTGTCGGACACTTTTAAAAAAGAAATCAAAGGAAATAACCTGACAAGTCATCATGTCGACACCAATAACAACCCCAAATTTGTGTTTACAGCAATGAAATTCCTGAGCAAGAAGGAAATTCCGTGGTGTCTGCTGATCTTGTCTCTAGCCTTTTTTTTCCTATTTCACTTACACTCTATTCACACACCAATGTATCTTGGCTTTTTGACTCCTTTTTTCCCCTAGGTTTGAAAATGGGAGATTAAAAAGTACTTCTTGTTTCTTTATTTCGTTATTGCATTTACGATTGGTGACTTATTTTAGTATTACGTTTGAATTGGTGACTTATGGCGTTTGCCTCATTTTAAAAAAGGCACATTGAAATTGGTTTCAGGTACACGGTACTATAGTGGAAATAGGAATGTGTGAATATCCAACCTCTGCATTGTATTTTTGCTATAAAAAAGAATCATTTTTCCTTCATTGATTAGCTATATGCACTTTAATAAATAGTAATGTGCAATTCAATGAAAATTAATGTGTACTTCGAGGAACACAAGGATGAAATGAAAAATTGTTAAAAGGTATTGATGTGAGGAAAATGAGACCTCACAGCATTCAAAATTTTAATGCAACACACATCTAATTGGCTTACTCGACTTTACTTTGGAGCCAAATAAACATTTCTTCGCATGCATGCATGTGTGTATGCATGGGTACATTTTGTACAAGTACTCTTCATACAGTTTTTTATTAATTTGTATTAGTTATTAAAAAAATTTTCATAAATGGTGTCATAGAGAAGATAGTATGTGACAAATTGAATTTGTCCAAACTTATTTATTAAAAGAGAATTATATTTCCTTCATTTATTAGTAATCAAGGGTGAAATAAAGAAATTACTAAAAGGTTTTCATGTAAAGACAATGAGATATTGCGATATTACAATTTTTTTAATAGCACAACTAATTGACAAACACGACTTCAATTTGAGGCCAAAAACAATTTTCCTATACAAATGTGGTACTTTACGTACAAGTTAGGGTACTTTTTATCAAAGCATAAATACTTTTTTATAGTTGTTAATTAATTTATATTGGTGATTAAATAATTTGAGGCCAACTAATAGAGAAATAGAGAAATCACTAAAAGCTTTTTATGTAAGGATGATGAAACTTCACATCGTTGCAATTTTTTCTTGTAGCACAACCAATTGAATAACTCAACTTCAATTTGAGGCCAAATAAACACTTTTCCTATACAAAGTGAGGTATTTTACGTACAAGTTAGGGTCCTTTTTTATATAAGTACTTTTCTCTCTATTGTTAATTTTTAACTAATGATCAAATAAAATTCAAGTTCATGGCTGATTATTAGCTCCTAACTATATATTTTTCAAATAATAAATTTGCAAGAAACAAAGCTCATAATGATTAAGCTCATGTAAGTTTGTTGGCATGAAAAATCACGCACAACGGAAGCAATTTTACTACATATGAAATATATAGAAAGAGGAGGAGAATAAATACACAACTACAACTCAATAATTTATTAACCTAATAGTCAACAATAACAATACCAAATCGAAACTTTTTGCTCAAGACAACTCACAAATCTGAGGTTTTTTCTCAAATCTACTCTCAAGACTCAATTCATCTATTTAAAACTATACTTTCTCAACTCTTTTCAAGAAAACAATGCTGCATGCTTCGCAATTTATAGAGGCATCCTACCGACTCAAATTTTCAAAGGAAAAGGAAACTTGCTAAACTAATTACTACCAGGACTAGTATTACTAAGGTTTAACCGACTAGGACATGCAAAAGGAAATCAACTAGGACTCCAACCGACTAAAAACAAATAGAAAAATTCCTTGAAGATATTTAGTCTGCTAACACCAATCAAGATTGGAACTTCGAAGCAATCCTATGCGGGTTTAACTTCGAAGTAATTTGGTAATATAATTAAGTTTGGTTTAATTTTCTTCAAAGTTGCTATTATAAATCGGATCATAAGTAGCAGTAAGAGGAATGTTGTCGACATTCCCATGCAAGTTGAAGTAGCTTACTCTATTTTTCATTGAAGTACACATTTATGTTCATTAGAGTGCACATATTGTCCAATTTTGGCCATATTGAAATATGCTTCCCTGCCGCTCAGAATTTGCACATCTTCAACAAAATTCAGCCCTTATCAAAAAATCAAGAAAAAAAAATTGCTATAACTAGAACTTGCTTATGAAAGCAACCCACACCAATTAAAAGATTACAACTACTGATATTTGAATGAGAACAAATTCCTAGGTAAAAGAAACAGAATTTCCTGTGTTTGTCTGGAAAGCAGTCTTGAGTTCTGCTAGAACTTAAGTTTCCATTTAGGAAAGTTCAAAAATTGGATAATTTTGTACAACAATTATTGACCTCTTTAATTCCCTTGTAAGTACTTCTAGTGTATCACCAATTTTTCCAGAAATGGACGACAGGGTTGTGATATCAAACTTGGGCAATAGATAATTGTCAATTTGGTGAGAGATAATAAGTATTGACTGATTTTCTCCCTTATCTAGTTCTTGGGAAAATCAAGGCCTTGTTTGCTTTGTAATTTTTCATAAAAAATACTTTTATTTTTTGTGAATATATTTTCCAATCATTTTTTTATATTACATATATCAAATCGACACAATATATATTTTTTTTATAAAAATTCCAAAAATAGCAATGCAAATGAACCTTAGATTTTTAAGGAATGTAAGATGGAAGAGTTGATGGTGGTGGTAGGTTAAAGGCTGGTCACTGAGGGAAATGGAGATGGAATCCACAATTAGATAGAAGTTCAGCGAGTTTTTGCACCTGGACATTTTGGTAATTTAAGCCAAATCTTATTACATTTAATATTGGTTGAATAGTTGCACTCCATTTTTGAATCTCATACCCACTTTATGAACTTTTGAAAAGCTGAGTATTGATTCTTCCGGCTTCCATATCCGAAATTCTTCCAAATATTTAAGATGATGGGCAACATTTTTTTAAGGGGTGTTTTATTTCTTCAGTTTTTATGTTTTCAGCTGGAAAATTCAATGTTGGGATAGAATCTTATATTTAGTCACGTTGTTTTTTCATAAAATTTTTTTATAATAATTATTAGTTTACTAAGCAAGCTCTTGTTGCAAAGATGATTTTAGCAATTCAGCCTTGATGATCTCTTGTTGCAAAGATGATTTTAGCTAATTCAGCCTTGATGATGGCTTTTATGCTATCTAACTGTCATAGTTTTTTCTGCCCTCCACTGTTAGTTTAAAAGGATAAGCAATTCCTTTTGACAAGAGAATTACACTTAACAGTTTATTTTATTGCTAAGTTGGCAGGATTTGTCTGGTGAGTTCATGTTTAATTTTTTAAGAAATGTTACGTGAATAATCGTAGTCGCAATGGGTACATTTTATCGGAGTTATATGTCTTGATTTTTAGGTGTTCTTAAACTCCTAGTTAAGTTGGTGTTCACAAGGATAACAATGGTATTCATGAAAAAATACTTTAAAATAGTAGTGTAAGCAAGTTTGAATATGGTGTTTACATGTTAAATTTTATGGACCATTGAGGCCTTGATAATGAATCCCTTGAAGACCGATGCAAGGTAATATGCTATGTGTCTTTATTAAAAATGAAAGTTCAAAAATAGACATGAAACAATCCACAATAGAGTTCATGTATTGCAGTTGGAGAAATCTTTAAAAGTAATGTTTTTATATACTGTCAATATATACACGTGCAATATTTTTTTTATGTGCTATCAATGTTCAACATGGACAGATGTACAAACTTTTGTTTCTGTGAGTACGATAATAAGTAGTGCCTCTTCAAACAAAAAATAATAATAAAAGGACAAAGGCTTCAAATTCTTTTCTAGTTTAAGTGTTCTTCGAATTTAAAAAATAAAAAACGCGAAACGTCCAACCATACGTCTATGTACATTGGACTCGTCCTTTTGTACCTAAATTAATTCCATCCTATTGTCCTTAAAAGGAAATTCAAATGAAATAGGTGGTTAGAATTTCATTTGGGTAAGTAGCAAAACAAATTTTTACTTTATATCTACTAGTGGTATCTTATCATTTTTGCATTATTTTAATAATCTTATAGTCTTTATTTTAATAAACTGATCTTCTACATTGTCCTCTTTGTTATTGCCTTGTGAGCTACTTGCACTCTTATTTGGAGAAAATATTTTAATACTGAACATGTATACATTAACAAACGTATAAACAAAAATATTCTCTTTTTCATTTCCCACTTTTTCTCTACTTCATTTATCTAGTAAATCTCATGCTCCTAATTTTTTATTAAAAAAATCTCGTTATGTAAAGCAGACATCAGACTATTCTTTCCTATGGCATCCACCACTGTCACGAAATCATTTGAAGTATGCTAATGTTTGTACTTAACAGCCAGTCCTACATGCACCATGGATCAGTTGGTTATACGGACAGGATGCATTGAACACCAAAAGAAATATATAGGGTTCACATGTGAGCAGTTCTGACAAAAAAAAAAAAAAAATTCAGGCTATTAATGTGAGCAGTTTTGACCATAGGGTTCACATTCTGATAAAATTATAACTATTTACTGCTTTGGTACTATAGTAATATTTTACAATTTTTGTAGACGTAGGTATCTCGAAATGCACTTTGGCCGGAAAAGAAACAAGAAGACAAGATAAGAGTCTTGCAAGTTGTAGCCAAAAAAAAAAAAAGAAAAAAGAAAAAAGGTTTCGCTGACAATGTTTCGCTATCTTCAGATAATCAGAAAGTTGTAAACCTTGAACTTTATTCAAGGTACAAATTTGATCTTAGAGTGAATAGAAGGTACAATAATGGAGATATCCTCCAGTAGTAGCATTAGTTGCTTTGATTCCGCTCTAGAATATCTGGACTGGTTCAGTGCGACATTCCGATGTCTGGACTGTGATGATATCACTGACCTGGTGGAGCTCGGAGTGAGAGTATTACAAAGCTTTGATCTGTATCTGACAAAGTGTAGGAGGAGGAGGAGGAACCTTGAAACCTGTTTGGAACAAGATGAGGAAGAGAAGGATGTTACTTCTTTCAGAATTCAAAACCTGATTATCGGAAGAATGCAAGATCTTGAATTTGCTTGCAGCGAACACTTGATTCATTCTCGTTTAGATGGTTTGACTCAGATCCGAAGTGAGCTCACCAGATTCCAGGTAGCAATCAAATTGTTTTTCGAGACATATATCAAGGAATCGTGCATCAACTCTCTGTTGGAGTATTACTGGCTGAGAGATCCGGAACTAGTTATTGATTTCGTTGATTCGGTCTCAAAGACTCTGGCGGAACTTCCCATATACTGTTTCAAACACCTTGTAAATAAGCTAATGTTCATGAAGAGTTTCATTCGCTTTGCCATGCTTCGCGGCATCAAGGGTCAGCAATTGATAGATCTCTTGATTCACGCTGAAGTGGTGGCTATCAATGCATTACGCCTGGCCTCTATATGGTGCTTGGACAGTGACAGACATAATGGAGATGTACAGAAGGAAATGAGACTTCAAATTTCTCGACTAATACGTGAGAAGATTAATCCTGGTGATCCCCCGGTCCGAGAAACTTACATCCATGTCTTGACTGCTGCAAAGTTATCAAGATCATCAGATATTTCAGATCTGGAGAAGAATAAGCATCTAGTAGCTGACTTTATGGATCGTCTCGTTCACAATATTAAGGAGCTGCTGAAATCCTGTACCAATATTCTTGTTCCGATTATGAATCAAATGCTAAAACTCCTTGAGGGGCTAAGATTCCTGACAATCCTTCTCAAGCATCAGGAGAAGTTCAAAGAGCTGTGCCATGAAATGAAGAATCTTATTGGAGTTGTGGCCTGTGATGCAGTGGTTGTAATTTTCTCTCTTTCTGTGAATCAAATCGAAGAAGGCTTGGCCAAGGAAACCGATCTTGCTCTTTTTCATTTGCTTAAAGTGATTAAGTTTATTAGGGCAGAAGTTACCGATCCAGTAACATCATTTTCGCCATTTGGTTTTCCTAGGACCAATGAGATGGGCTCTATGGATTTTCTCCTTGAAAATCTGAAAGAACTAGAAATTTGTAATGAGGCTGATGATTCAATTGCATTCCCGAAAGATCAAATCCACACAGTCCTCGAAGATCTCGTATTCTTAAGATCTTTCCTTGTCAAGATAGCAGACCAGCGCAACTGGAATGGAAAACTCCAAGCTCTTTGGAGTCGTGTTATGGAGGTTGCACATAGGGCAGAGTTTGTCATTGACTCTATTGTGGTTGGTGATAAACATGAATATTTGGAAAGAGTTGCCAGAGATATCCAGCTTTTGAGGACTGAGGCCTTTGAAACCTATGATAGCACGAAGCATGACTGTGGAGCTCAGAGAACTAACCAAAAATCTTTCCGCATTGAGTCAAAATGTAGCACCCCAGTGTTGAATGAAGCTCTAGTGGGTCTTGATGATGAGGTAAAGACAATTATTCATAGTCTTACCAGGGGTTCAAAGCTGTTGGATTTTGTTTCAATTGTGGGTATGGCTGGACTTGGTAAGACAACATTGGCCAATAGAGTTTACAATGATCCATTAATTTTGAGCTACTTTCATATCCGTGCTCAGTGTATTGTTTCTCAAGTGTATAGCATGCACAGTTTGTTAGTTCAGCTTTTATGTAGTATTTCTTCTAGAAGTCCGGATGAATATCTTGAGATTGGTGAAAATGATTTGGCTCACAAGCTATACAAACTTTTAAAAGGAAATAGGTATCTCATTTTTTTGGATGATGTGTGGGAGATTAAGGCATGGAATTTGGTGAAAAGTTCATTGCCCAATGATGCTAATGGAAGTAGGATTCTCGTCACCAGCAGAATTCAATTGCAATTCAAACCTGATAGCAAGGCTTACCATCTCCGCCACCTTACTGACAATGAGAGTTGGAAATTGCTGTAGAAAAAGCTATTTGGCAAAGAAGGTTTTCCTCCAACACTAGGTAAAGTTGGATCTCAAATAGCAAAATTATGTAGGGGCTTACCTCTCACAGTTGTTCTCGTTGCTGGAATTCTTGCTAATACTGTAGAAGACTGCTGGGAAGAAGTTGCAAAGAGTCTAACTTCCAGTATTGTCCTTCATGATGAATACTGTATGAAGACGCTTGAGCTGAGTTACAATCATTTACCGGATGATTTGAAGCCATGCCTTCTTTACTTTGGTGCATTTCAAGAAGACGAAAATGTTCCCGTCCGAAGGTTGTTATGGCTCTGGATCTCTGAAGGATTCGTGCGAAAGACTGAGGGAAAGAGATTAGAGGATGCAGCAGATGACTACTTGAGGGATCTGGTTGATAGAAGTTTAGTTATGGTTTCCAAACAAAGAAGTACGGGTGGTGCCAAAGCCTGCCGACTTCATGATTTGGTACACGAGTTTTGTGTGAAAAAAGCCAAAGAAGAAAACCTTCTACATATTTTGCATAGTCAGAGTGGACGTTTTATTCTTACCGGCCCAAGCAACCCCCTCCGAGTTTGTGATCAAAATACCAAGAATTTGATGATTTGGGAGTTAATGCTAGAATTTCCGAATGTACGGAGTTTGTTATTGTTTAAGGAGGATGATTTGGGGTTTTGGTTACTTAAACTTCTAAGAGTGTTGGATTTGAGGAAATTGGTGTTTCATGTATATTTTCCAATGGAAGTACTTTTGCTTGTTCACTTGAGATACTTGGCTCTTTGTACTAGAGGAGTAAATTTCATCCCAGCTGCAATAGCTAACCTCTCAAGGTTACAAACTTTTCTGCTACGAGGAAACAACGCTGATTGTTTCTTACCCAAGACAATCTGGAACATTAAGACATTGAGGCATCTATGGACTACAAATTCCGCTATTGGTTTTATGTTTCCTGTTGAAAATCTTGAAGTATCCCCAGGTTTAGATCGTTTAGTCGCTTTAAGCCTTGCCATTGATCCCTCCTCTCAAAGCTTGCAAAAGACACTGGCAAAGTTACCAAGCATCCGCAGGCTAAGATGTAACATGAGGAAATCAAGAGAAGAAACTACAAGAATTGGCAACGAGATTCTCGGGTTTGACTGTTTGAGTCAACTAGAATCACTTACTCTGCGTCATTTTTGCGGATTTGGATTTAAATTCCCATTGAATTTGAAGAAGTTGACTCTCTCCTATCATAAGCAGCCATGGTGTGAAATTTCCACAATTGGAAAGTTGCCCAATCTTGAAGTGCTTAAATTACTCGATCACTCCTTCTATGGAGAAGAATGGGAAATGAACGAAGGGGAGTTCCTTAACCTCCGAGTCTTGAAATTGTCAAGGTTGCGGGACTTTCACAGCTGGACTGCATCTTCTGATAATTTTTCCCGTCTTGAGAAATTGGTTGTCGACTGGTGTCCAAACTTGGAAGATGTGCCTTCTTGTTTAGGAGAATGTCTGACTCTTGAAATGATTGACGTGAAATGGTGTGGTGAGTCTGTTGCAAGTTCAGTGAAGCAAATTCAACAAGAACAGATAGATACAGGAAATGAAGTTCTAAAGATCTCAATTGAACCTTGTGGTGATGCGCGGAGTTCCAGCGAAGAAGAAGAAGAAGAATCAAGTCCCCTAGAAACAGAGTCAATCCCCTCACAAGGAGTCTAATTCAAGTTTCTTGAAAGCAATTTCTGGAGCTTCCCCATCTTTCTGTTTTGACATGATGCCGCTAGCTATAACTTTGTGACTGCAATGGCAAGCATGCACAATAATGCATTAGTCAATCCAACATTATCTATCACAATCTCTTTCTAAGATGTCTCCATGTTCTTTTCTGGTTTGATAATGTTTAACGGAGTTTATCTTTTTAAAATCTCAATTCGTGAAATTTTCTTTAATTCTGCTACAGATTTATATGATGATTATAGCTAGCTAAGCACAAATTTATATGCATGATACACTTTTCTCTTCCTACTTCGTATTTTTAACTTGCTTCTGTTTTTTTTTTTTGGCTACAAATATTAAGAAGAGACAAGAAAAAGGGAAAAAAAAAACTTGGTTATTTACTTTTTACCTTTGCAAGTACTGCATATTAAAGAAGTTAAATACAGAGCGGGAAGCAGTGCTTAAATTAGTCGGTGGTCGTGCGCTGTGAATTGGAAAGTTGCTTTATTAGATGGATTGGTTCTTTCCATTTTCTTCTTTTATTCTTCTTGTTGTGTTATATTATATTTGTTGTGGTGCTGGATTTCTTACTGGTTTCGCTCCTTTTTCCTTTTTTTCCCCCAAACGCTGCTGCTATTTAATTGCTTGCCATATTATTATTAATTTTATTATTATTATTATTATTATTATTATTATCATCATCATCATCATCATCATCATCATCATCATCATCATCATCATCATCATTGTTTATAATAGAACATGCAGTTGTACCATTATGTTGTTTTCTCCTTTCTCCTGAATAACAAGTTGCTACAAAAACTACGCTTGCAAAATTCTTTATGAATTGTGGTACTTTTGAGAGGTATTTTATGTATTATTTTTAATAAGAACCTTTTATGCATAAATAAATCATGGAATTTGTGTGTGTTATGAGTTAACGCAGAAATTAAGTATCCTAAGTTTAAATCCCATGTTGATTTTTTTTACCGACAATATTTTTTTCTCAAGGTTACTGTTTTTTATTATAATAATGATATTGTTATAATAGAATATGTAATTGTGCTATTACGTAGTTTCCTCCTTTTTCTTGAATAATAGTTTGCCAAAGAAATTGCGCCTGCCAAAATTCTATATTATTACGTGGTACTTTTCTTTTGTGGATAGAATGCTTCCTTCCGTTTTGCATTTTTGTGTTCTCCTTATATTATACCATATTTGTGGTGGTGCTGCATCTCTTATCGATCTTGCTCTTTTTTTCTCCTCCTTTTTCTTTTTTTTTTTTCCCAAAACTCTGCTGCTATTAAATTCCTTACCATATTATTACAATTTTATTATTATATTACCATTATTATATTATGATTATTACTGTTATTTACCTTTCATAGGTAGTAATAATAGTTGCACTGCTACTAGAGTTCTTACCCTTTTTGTATAAATGTAAGTCATAAATGATGATATAATTGTGGTACTACTGGAATGCGTATTAGTTTTGAAAATGTTTTCTTTTTTTTTGTATGAATTATGATATTCGCCTGTATCTTATAAATTAGATACAGACAGGATCTTGTTTTCCCCTTGCTGGACGAGGTTGTTATTTTTCCTTTTGTTTTATACCTTTTCCTTTTTTTTATAACAATTGCTTTTTCTATTTTTTGTAGGGGTGTCAGTCTTTCTTCTTCTTTTTTTTTGTTATTTGAATTCTATTGCTTATGTAATAATAATCATAAAAGATATCCTTTTTTTAGCAAGGAATGTTTTGTGCACGTTTATTCTTTTTTTTGTGTGATAAAATATACAATTCTATCACTATATTTTTTTACTTTTTTTTTAATAATAGATTAAGAAAAAATTCATCCTGGATTTTTTACTACTTGTTTTGCTGTATCTTTGTCATGATTATTTGTTTAAATTGTAATTTTTATGAGTTTTTTTATAATAAAATATATAATTGTATTACTCAGTTGTTTTCTTTCTATTTTTAATAATAAATTAGAGAACTACTATCTTGGATCATTGAGTACTATTATTTTAGTTAGTTATGGCATAATTTCCTCATGCATATGAAAATTACTCTAATAGTGAATCAATTACTCTCATACCTACTCTCGTGGTTATGCAATTAGATACAAATTAATTACCTCTATGAAATTACCTAAAATGAATCACTAAAACCACAAAGATGCACCCCTACTTTCGTGAGTGTACTCTCTAGGTTTAACACCTCTTGAACTAATGTTAAATCCCAATTTTCATTTAAGAAACAACACCTTTAGATAATCACAAATAATGATACCAAGTTAATCATGATTTGAGGAGCAAAAGAGCTAAATAACTTGCTCAAATTAAAAGCATCAAATAACCAAGAAATTAACACAATACAATCATAGAAAGTTAAACCAAACTTAAGGCATAAACTTTAGAAACGCATAATAAATATAAAATCCAGAGCTTGCATATTAACTAAACTTAGAATCAATTACAAAAGATAAAGAGTTGGAAAGATAGAGTAACTCTTGTCACATGAGCTCTCTTCTTGTCTTCTTCTTTCTCCAACTTCTTCTTCATTCAGCTAACACACAAGAAAGGATGAACTAGCTAAAACTACACTATTCTACACTACCTAAACTAAAGGGCTAAAAACTATCTAAGAACTACATTTTGTGGTGTTTCTTCACCCCCTCTCCAAGCTCTCTTGATTCTTGCAACTCTATGGCTATTTATAGATGAATTTAGTTAAAAAATGAGGCTTCAAACATCACTTTTATAGCTGCAAAATAGTTGTCACATGTCTATCAATAACTATGAATTATTGGGGGAGAAAACAAGTTGTGCAATTGGAGAGCCGTAATTTCTGACTAGAATCCGGCCAAATATCTGTCTAAAATTGGCTGGATTTCTCCCCTGTTTTGCTTCTCAATTTCTATTCAACCTTTAATGTTGTTCCAAATTTGCATCAATTTTAACTGAACTTTTCTTAGAATTAACTCTTGACCAAAACATAATACTTGTATTCCTTTGAGTTAGCTTTCCAATACATCAAGAATCACTTCATTTGGATTTGTGTAGGCTACAAATGACTGAAATGCCCTTAATTGTTCAATGCCTTGTTTTAGTTTCGACCATAGAAGTTGGCTACTATAATTTGGTTTTTTCACCTAGAAAACGTTTAAATTGGATTTCAATGTCTTCATAGGAATTGTAGATCTATCTCTTATATTCAAAATGGTTCAAAAATCATCTCAATCTGATCATTGTAGCTCAAGTTATAGCCAAAATACGAAAATGTGTCAAAGCAGTCAACTTTCCTTTTTCATCCAAATGAAGTCTATTTCCAACTCCTATAAAAAAATTATGGACAAACTATAAGTAAAAAGGGAAATAAACCTCATTTAAACACTTAAGAGCATTTTAAACTAATTATAGCCAAAATAATTCATTTTCTTCTTATAGCATTACGAAAGTGATTGAAAATATCATAAAATGTCATTTTAATATAGCTCAAAATAGTCAATTATCATTTATGCATGGTATTTTATGTATTAGTTTGTTTATTTCGTCCACAAACTAAGTGGGGGATTGTTGGAATAGTTTGTGAATGAAATAGAAATGAAACTTGTTACAACAAAGAATTTGGAAACTTAAGAGTCTTGTTGGAAGTCAAAAGTTTCTGAAATTTTTGGCATTTTCTATCCATTAAAGGGGTTTAATGGTACCTTTCAATGTTCATGAATGTCCATAAACATGTAAAATAGTGGTTGAATAACTTGTGATCTTTGAGTTGTTTTTTCAATATAAAATGACAAGTCTCCACCATAGAACTAACTAGAATCTTGATCATCTCTTTGTAGAGCAAACTTGACATTTGCCATCAAGTTTCTCAAAAATTTTGTTGTATCCTAGATGTAATTTGCCATAATCCTGTAGCAAGTACTTTGTGTAGTGGGAGGCAAATAACACATTAAGGACAGTGTCAAACACATCTCAAGGTCATCATTTTCATCCCCCTTTTTAAGTGAAATTTGTGTAATACAAATTTCTGCACTTTTCTTGGTGCTTGAGTATCAGTTACACCAACAATCCCAAATGGAGGTCTAGATCTCTAGTTACAGTCAATGTTCTAAAGCTGCATCAAATTGCCAATTTTGGTCAAATAGACCCTTTGATACTCTGAAATCTGCCAAATCATAAAACATAACATAAATCTTTTTATTAAGCTTTTAATTTAAACGAAAGACTAAGTGTTGTAGAAATAAAATATATAAACTTGTCACTTTATCATTCTATTTTTTGTATAATATACTTAGCCAAAACGTTGTCTTCCTTATATTCATCAAGGAAAATATATTGGGAGAATTTGGAATATGGACACCAGAAGAATCAATTTTCCTAAGCAGGGTATAACTTTCAACAAATTCCTGAAGAGGGAATAAGTTACTATTCAATAATTATTATTATAATTAAGTTCAAATCAAATTTATCAAAATCTCAAAGTCTGTTAAAACAGACAACACTCAAACAGCTTAACAAGAGGGACGGATGCAGGATTCTAGTTTAAGGAGGCGAACAGTCAAGCAAGGAACAAAAAAAAGTCATGAGAAATGAAGTGCACTAAGTTAAAATGAAAGTTCAATAAACGATAATTAACAACTAAGTATTTTAACAATAAAAAACAATGTGTAAAGTAAATTATGAATGTTGGACTCTTGACAGGTGCCGAACCTGTGCAATAATAATAAATAAAACCTAACTACCACTAAAAGCAGTCAATAATCAATTCTAAGTACTGGAGCAGAGACTCTAGGTGTGCAATGGGTTACTTGATTCACCCTGTTCCCGAAGAGTTTGCTTAATCCGATATACTTGAATTAATTATTTAACTGAATTCACTAACTAGTAGACAGTGGTAAGCAGGGTCGTCTTTTCAGGGACTAGCGAGAAATTTGTTTCTTTTCAAGTCAAGATTAATGGGGGGTTTTGGAATTAAATGCCAATTAAACAAA